CGCATTGGGAGTTCTGTGGAGAATCGGATATGTGTGTTTAGACGTAGGTCGGATGTCCAGATATCAGATGTGTATCCGATTAGAATCCACATTTGGAAGTGGCTCAGATTAGGGCTGTGTATCACCAGCAAAGTCACGATACGATACGTATCACGATACAGAGGCCATGATACGATACGTATCACGATACATGACTGCACTGAATTTCACCTCAGCAGAATTTAGAAAAACAGCTGTTTATTAAACTGCACACTATAGTGCCATTTCTAACTATTGGCAGAGCAGGCAGCTGACCTCTGCATTATGAAGGGCCTCCAGAACTGTACCACAGTACAATCAATATAGGTTATGGCATATGTTTCATGTTTACATTGTGCACTCCACACCAGGTACAATATTCTGATTGTTTGCATCTCGTTTTTAAGCCCATAAATAATAATGTACTTGTTCTAATAAATTTATATTGTAATGTACTCATTCTAATATATTTTTAAAAAATAATTTACATTGCTGGTAGGTTATCATTGCACAAATTAACACTCTCTACAATTAAAAAAAAAATTAGAAGAGTTCTAATCTAACGCGCTGTCTTCACTATATCTAATGCACACTATGGATGGGCGTATCGATCCAAAGTATCGAAAGTATCGATACTCAAACAAAAAATATCGATACTAAGGTGTGTTTTATTTACCAGTGATTTTTTTAATTTAACAAAAAAAAAAAATTGTACAATATGCATTGAATTGGATGAATAACCTTTGTTAGCGTGTAATTGTGTAGGATAGAACTATTTTCCTGCTCATCTAAACACGCAAATGATGCAAGACAGAACCAATCAATCACAGAGAGCATTCACTCACTGCTGACAGTGCATTCAAACAGGGCTGCGTTTCCCAAAAGTATCATAAGAAAGCATTAAAGCTTTTGGGAAAGGCAGCCCTGAACAATGCTTATCAGAGGACAGAAGGACAGAAGGACAGAGTTATTTCACAATAAACAAACAGAAATTGTAGCCTACATAGTTTGTGCAATTACAGTTATTTAAATTGAACGTTGAAAGATAATATTGGTCATGTTCTATTCTGTAGTGTTAATAGAAATCATACACTGTCAGAATAAAAAGGTTGCATTTTATGCATGCAACAGCCGGTCACTGGCAGTCCCTAATGAAAATTAACCTTGGTTTTACTAAAGTGAGCATAGTTCAACTGTAGTATTTGTAGATTTGAACCATGTGTAAACAAAAATATAACCTAATAAGTTACAATTAAGGCATATTGAATGTTAAAATGCGTTTTAAACCAAGTTAAGTGCTTATTACCCATTTTACTCTTAGTAATTTAATAATTTAATACATTTCATAATTTAAAAGTTTAGTTCAGAAGTATCGAATCGGTATCGATATCGACGATATTGCCTTGAAAAATATCGGTATCGTATCGAAAACAAAATAAGTGGTATCGCCCATCGCTAATGCACACATGCTCAAGACTGATTTATACATGACGCGTCCGCAAGTTCGCTTAGGTGCTGTGAAACATGACGTCATCGCGGTGTTGGTGGAAGTTCGCTTTGAGTGCGACCGACGTCGTTTCGCGTGGCGGTGTGCACGACATTTTTTGTAACTTTCTGCGCAGCTCCGCTTCCGAAGATGCACGAGTTCAAAGCGACTCTAGCCGAACATGCACGTCTGTGCCAGCATTTGTGTGAAACAGAAGCAGTTTGATGT